CGAGGTAGGCTCACTCAGCCAGACAGTACCTCTTCAGTCAGTTCTGGAAGTACCAGTCACTATACCGCCCAGACTTTCCTAATGCTCGAAAGACCAAGAGGAATCAAATAAGAAAACATCCTCGGGCCGGCCCGGTGGCGCACTGCTACAGTGCGCCGCTTGGGAGTGTGGCGGCGCTCCCGCCGAGGGTTCGGATCCCACATGCAGACCGGTTCCCGCTCACTGGCTGAGCGAGGTGTGGGAGCAACACCGAGGGTTGCGATCCCGTTGCCGGTCCTGGTCCGGTACGGGCGCGACACTGAGGGTTGCGATCCATTGCCGGACACGAAAAAAGACAAAAAAAAAAAAAAAGAAAGAAAACATCTTCATTGAAAGACTAGAAAATTGACCTCCTTCTTAAATTGACCTCTTTCTGTGTAGAATAATCTTAAATTTCAAAGTGGATTTTATTATTGTAAATAATATATTTGAAAAGAACTTCTAATATCCTTATTTACGAGCTATTTGAAAGTAATTAAAAATCTCTCGGTATTTTTTTGATAGTTTAACTTATATAAATTAACATCTTTATGATATCACAGTCTTATTAACTGCCTTGCTTTTCAAAGAAATTTAGCAACAAAGGTAAAAAAAATTTTGTATATGTCGATTTCCTCACAGAAATTAAATAGTTCTAGATAATAAACAAAACCTTTTCTCCTAAACGGAGAATACAAGGGTACTTCAAAAAGTTCATGTAAATATGGAATTAAAAGATAATGTGAATCTTTCCATGAACTTTCTGAAGACTCCTCGTATACACATCTGTATTTCCAGTTGAAAGGTGTCACTATAGCCACATTTGTGGCAAACAGAACATTGTATTTATGTAAATATAAATACAGAGATATGTAAATAAAACAACCAGCTAGATACAGAATTCTAAGGTTGGAGAAATAACATGAGAGGAAAAAGTTTTTCAGATACACATTCAGTTCTGTGCAATTTATTCATAAAATAAAGCATTTACTCTTAATTAAAAAATAAATGCTATATTTATTTTAAAAAACAGTGCTTATGATTAAAATCACTGTTAATATCTGTGAATATCAGTATATAATACATAGTAATAGTTATTCACAAAACATATGCTAATATATATTTTCATGTCTTATGAACATATAATTCTAAAATTTTAACTATTATTCATTATTAATTTGTAGAAAATATTACTAAAGTGCCGGCATTTTATAAAAAGCAAACCTAAGTCCTGAGTATATCAATCATCTTGTTTTCATTGAAAAACTAACTGAACGGCTGACTGACGGAAAGAGAGGCCAAGTCATTAGATTATCGGCTTTATTCTCTAAATCAGCGGTTTCCAACTGTTGATTTTATGCTAACCACAGGTGATTCCAACCATCTCTAGATGTTTTATAAAGTTCTCAAAACAAAACATACATATTTAAAGAGAAAACTGAAATAAATGAAGTCTTTTTTTAAAAAAAAAGGAAAGGAAAAAAGAAAACCAAAAACTATTGGAATGGAGAAAAAACTCCTTAGACAGTCAAAAACATGATGAGAAAGTGTCAAAACTCAGGAGCTGGAGCTGCTGTGACGAACTACAGTATGCTCAGACCTTTGGTCGGCCACAAAAGCTTGTTTGGTTCCCTACCTCGCTGACAATTAGCTTTCCTTTACAGCACTTGGTCACTTGAGTACAGCAGTAAAGGACAACAGAACCCCAACTGATCAAAATATTTCAGGAATTCTGCTGAAAGACTGGTAACTATCGACTCTTTGCTTTCAACGTTTGTTGGAAATCTTTCTTTCAAAATACTACCTTTGCTACCTTGAAAGAGACCCACGATAAACCCAAATGAAAGTTTCTTGGATGTTGCGGATCTGTCTACGACTGGGGCCAGCAAATGTTTTCTTAAAGGCCCAGACACGAAATATTTTAGGCTTTGCAGGCTACAGGACTCTAGTGTGAAAGCAACCATAGACAATATGTAAACAAATGAGTCTGGCTATGTTCCAGTAAAACTTTATTTACAAAAATAGGTTGGTGAGCTGGATTTGGCCCGTGAGCCAGAGTTTGCTAACCTCTGGTCTAGAATATCTTTGTATTAAAAAATACTTCTTCCACATTTTTTAAAGTCAGAAATTCTCATGGAATACTACTCGTGCAATCATAAAGGAACTTGTTAACGATTTTTCACTAGAGGAAGAATATGTGTCCCCTAAAAACTGCATCAGCTTGGGCTCTACTAATCAAGGACTTAGGACTGTATACCTTGGACTACACTGAGATTTACCACTGCACCATCTAGAAAAAAGTGTTCCCTGTGATAACAGGGCATAAGGGGACTGATGTATAAATGATCAACCAACCTTAAAAAAAAGTATCACAGAAAATTGTAGATAAACAAACTAAGACTATTAATTAAAAATTAATTTTGTCTGTTTATTAACATATATCAGCCTGAATCTTTACTTCAAAATAGTTTGTTAGCTTTAATTAGTGTATGCATGAAATCAATAAAAATATTTATTTAAAACTACACTATAAATTTCTCCTGTTCTCTAATTCAGACCACCTAGTTTAGAAGTCAGCAAAGTTCTATTGAAACATGAGATGTCCATTCATTCATTTATTTAAAAATATTTACTGAATGCTTATTAGCAGTTAGGCACTATTTTGAAGCTGGAGATTTAATACAACATAGTCCTGTTATTAAGGAATTCTCAGTCTGGCAAAGAAGTCTCCTTAGAAAACAATCTTGGCAAAACAACATTACTGTCAGATTAATATAATATGAAAACTAATTTTCAAGTTTCAAGAAATGCTATAAATATTAAGTATTAGATATTGTATTAAAGAAAGTATTAACATCATTTTCACATATATTTCTATATTTTTCCATTATTTAATTATATAAATAGAGTAAAAAATTGGATACCATTTATTTCTTGTTATACAATAAAACAAAACAAAACAGTGTGTGCAACAAGAACAAGTTCTCAACAAACATTCAACAGGAGGCCTAAGTTGCAAAGCAATACGTATAGGGTAACCTCCTCTGTGCGTGTTTGGAGAGACATGGAGCACTTCCGACACGGCCCGGACACAGGGCTGGGAGTTAGTACGAGAAAGAGAACTTTCTCATTTACCCTTATACCCTGCTCTAATATTTTCTTTTCTTTTTTTTTTTTTTTTTTTTTTTTTTTCCCGATCCACCAAGAGACAAACATCCTCAGTCTGTCACCATTTTTATATATTTTTATTTATTTATTTATTTTTTTATTTTATTTATTTATTTTTTTTTGTCTTTTTCCATGTCCGGAAACGGATCGCAACCCTCAGTGTTGCCCCCGTACCGGACCGGGGACCGGCAACGGGATTGCAACCCTCGGCGTTGCTCCCGCGCCTCGCTCAGCCAGTGAGCGGGAACCGGTCTGTATGTGGGATCCGAACCCTCGGGTGGGAGCACCGCCGCGCTTCCCAAGCGGCGCACTATCCAGTGCACCACTGGGCCTGCCCTAATATTTTCTTTTAAATAAAGAAGTAGTATTAATTTTTAATTTTTTTTTTTTTAAAGAAAATGATTAACATCGACAAAGACAAAAAATTAGTTCTCATTACAAGGTACACAAATAGAGGACTGGGAGAAGTTATATGTGAAGTTACAATCTTAGTCTCCAACTCAAGAACGCTTTTCCCTATCCTAACCTGATGCACAATTAACTTTTATTTATTTTCTTGAGGTGGAAAAGTTGAGGAGGTAAGAATACAGAAACCTAAACAATGTGTATGAACATGTTTGTGACAAATGAGGCGGGACTTACATTCACGGAGCAGACTCCTTGAGCAGCCGGCATACAAACGCTGCAGGCGAGGAGAGCTAGGATCTTCCTTTTCCTTTTTCTCTAATTAATGAAACCCAGAACCAGAAAAGTAAAGAAGCACTTCCAGCTGCTTGCTAACTTGTTTTCCTTTTGGGCAACAGAGAGGTTCCTGTGCTTTAACAGTCCATCATGGGAAATTTTAACTTAAGCAATTATAAAATAAAAATGTACTGACGCTAAAGGTACCTTTATAAACCTGTCACTTTAATCTTTTCTCATGACTTGTTGGTTTAATTAGGTGGCTATATAGTCACATAAAATTTCACTGAAACAGTTATAAGCATCACTACGTTGTTGTGCATGAAACAATTTATAACATTGGACTTATTTATTCTCAGACTAAAAGACCAAATGACAGCAAATTTAATGAAACTTCTCGGTATTAGATTATACAGATAATTTATACTTTGTAAAGAATGTGCAAGCTTTGTAAAGACTTCTCATGCTTTAGTAAATTAGAAGTAATGATGGGTATACATATTTTCATATTTAAAACCTAATACTGGGAACAGGAGAGCTAGAATATTGCTACAGTCTCATCAACAGCTATGAAAACGCAACAAGCCAATACAAACAAATACAGCTTTCTGACAAAAACTGACAGGGCTTCTAAATATAAGAACTAATTTTCAAATTGATTTTAAAATACTCACTAGAAGCACAGTAACTTGCAGGAGTCTGTTTAATGGAATGTGAAGAAAGAACACTGAATATCCAACTGATTCAAAGTAAAAAATAGTATAGATTCCACAAATTGAGTCTATGTGAATAGGAGTAACTTCCATAAACAACCAATAATTTATTATTTATTCTTTTGCACTCACATGGAAACTTTCTAATACTCAGACTGAAAACACAGTTGATAAGACCTACTAATGAAAATGATAAAAATGGAATAATGTTCAGTTTTTCATGTTGAATAAAAAAGCTCTACAAATGTGGTAAGCCATGAAGGCTGTATTTATGTTCCTTCCTGTACCATCTCTGACATTCATAATAGTTAGATATACATGTCAACATTTTCAGAGTCTCTATGGTACATATGCAGAATATACGCACAACTTTTTGTTATTGTTCAAGTCTGAAATTCTCTTTTTGATATGCTGACTCACCTCTTCTGGGACTCTCATGATTGAAGAGAATGCCATTCACTGCAAAGAGATTATATGCCTCACGGAAGTTCACCACGATCCAGTAGGCATAGAGTTTTGCTGCCCCTGTTGGAATAATTTTTTAAAAGCAATGAGGTTTATTTAAAAAGACAATGATTTTCACTCATCTTAAATGGTAACAATCTGCAAAAATTATAATTTGTAATGTATCAAAATAGAAAAAAAATATAAATCAAAAGCCAAAGACAAAGTAAATGTTCCTATGACAATTAATCATGCTCACAAGAAAATATTTGAGTCTCTTACTTTTGTCACACCCGCAGCTTGTTTTTTCACTACCTAATTGATTCAACTATAGTGTGTGAATGTATCAAGCTGACCTTTCTTAGGTCTTATTTCCTTTGTTTTAAGGAATCAAAAAGGAAAAATTGGGGATCTTAACGTTCAAACTGTTTACCACCGAAGTCTTTAGTGAATATTCTCTTCATAAATATGTTAGATACAATGGTCTTTTTTTTTTTTTTTAAGTTTGAGCTCAGAGAAAGTTTCACTGGGGAAATAAAAATCATGAAACCTAATCACTTCAACACAATCTCACAACCGTTCAGAAAGAGAATCATGTTGGGTCTAATTTTCCTTTTAAAGTGATCTGCGTGGCAGGGTTGAATGAACACAGATTGGTGAAGTGAGGTGTTAATCTCACCCCGGAGGCAATAGCTATACTTGTAGTCAGCAAGGTATAAAGGCATGCTTCTCAACAAGTCTAGTCACTTTAGTCTATCTTAATGCTAATCTCACACCCAAATGACTTCGGCGTGAGACAGCAGCAGAATGGAAGCAGAAACACATGCCCCACATCCACAGAGAGTGTCGAGCACGCGCAATGGTGCCCACCCATCCTCACCATAGGGTGACCGAGGATAAAAAGGGGTCGTCTCCTTCTGGGGTATTTCTTGCACTTTCCCATACAGTTCACTTGTTGAGGCTTGGTAGAACTTCACAGAGTTGATAAGGCCACAGGTCTTAACTGCATCCAGAAGCCGTAAAGTGCCGACCCCGTCAACATCCGCAGTATATTCAGCTAAGTCAAAAGAAATCTGGAAAGAGAGGGCAGACAGCACTACATTATTGGGTAACAGCACAGAGATGTTGGCTGGGTTACAGGGACTATGATGTCACACACTGTTAAGTGTCACGCTGGGAAGAAAATAGTGCTATTTTCTAAAAGCAGAATAAGAGTGTGGATGTCATCTATTTCTTATATCAAATTGCTGGAGAATATCTTAATACTTACGAATTACCTATGGTACTGTGAAGAATACTTTAACCACCCTTATATTGCCTCCTAATTCAAGGCCAGAGTCCCTAGAGCACCATTTATCATAGGGCAAACCCACGTTCTTCAGAATCCTCTGGGGTGTTCCTTAAAAATTCAGTTTGAGCCAATTTCTGGGGGAAGGGCCCAGGAAATTAACATTTTTAATGATTCCCAATTGATTTATATCCATAGAGAAGTTTCAGAACATGTGCTTTAGAATGCAGTTAATTTTTTTAAAGGATGTTTTATTTTCTATTTTGTTTGTTTTTTGGTGTCTGGCTGGTACAGGGATCCAAACCCTTAACCTTGGTGTAATAATGCCATGCTCTAATCAACTGAGCTAACCAGCCAGGCCTCTATTTTAAATTAAGATACAATAATGATTTTGCAGTATATTACATGTATATATAATCTTCTTTTATTATGAAGCACAGTGCATACAGCAAGACACTAGCTAATATATATATGAATTGACTAACTTCTAAGAGGGTGTTCAGAATTAATTCAATATTTCGCAGTTCCTTAAAGTATTTTTTTAAGTAAATATAACTGATATGCTTTTTTCTTAAATTATCTCTACAAATAATGAACAAATTAACCTAAATTAAATCCTTTAAAATAAGGAGACTGAAAATCTTTGTCATGGGTTTATTCACGGGCTGAACACAGCTGGGCACACTACAAACACTATTCTCCTGCTACCTTGTGAATGACTTCAATCCTCACCTGGGAAAAAACCCTCTTTGGGGTGAGTAAGGCCACTGACCTCCATCCTGGCCTGGTCCTGAGTGTCCCCTGAGCAGAAGCTATGGCCTTGTATATGCAGAAGGTATTAAGGGAACTTAGGCAATTGCTCAACCAGGACTCGACTCACTTATCACTCAGACCTGTGAGTAAAGCTCACATGGCAGCCATGAAATAAAGAAAAAAAAAGTATATTTCACCCACAATCTTTCAAATGAGAAAGCAGATTTGAGACCATTTTCTTCTTTTGTAAAAACAGTTTATTGAGATATCATTTACATACCATAAAATTCACCCTTTTAAATTTTACAATTCACCACCATCTAATTCCAGAACATTTTCATCATCCAGAAAGAAATTCCATACCCATTAGCAGTCACTCCCTAGTCCCCAGCTCCTATTCCAACAGCCATTAATCTACTTTCTGCCTCTACGCATTTGTCTACTGTGGACATTTCATGCAAAAGGAATCATACAATGTGTGGCCTTAAGGCTGTCAAGTTAGCTCAGCTGGTTAGGGTGTGGTGTTATAACACCAAGGTCAAGGATCTGGATCCCGGTACCACCCATCACTACCCCCAGAAAAAATATATTTGGGAGGAGGCAGCAGGTATATATGTGTGTGGCCTTTTGTGACTGGCTTCTTTCATTTATCACGCTTGCTTTCTTTTTTGTTTTTAATTTATTTTTAATAGCATATTCACCGTTATAAACCATACTTATTCTTTATACCCCTGATCCAATATCCAATGCCTCCCCTCCCCTCTACCCTTTCCCCCTCTTCCCTCTAATAACCGTAGATTTGTTCTCTCCATCTGATAGATTGACTGTTCCTCTGTTGGTTTGTTGCCCAGATGATCTGTCCAGTGCTGAGACAGGTGTGATCAAGTCCTCCCCTATTACTGTAAATTAGATGATTCTTCTATTACTCTGGAGTATGTTTTGTGGAGAGAGAGGACCTCCTCTTCTTTTTTGGTCCTGGTCTCCACTGGTGCCTCGCCTTGTGTCAATGTAGTTGGAAGTCTGGCAGGCTATCTGCACAGTGGCTGTGACTGCTACTATAGAGACTGGCCATTTTTGCGGCAGCCATGGCAATTACAGTGGCTATGGTAGGCTACCTGCGTGAAAATGGAGTTTTTGGTGTGCTCTTTACCTGGTTGTGGCTGGATTCAGCTTCTTCCAGGTCCATGCCTCAGGACCCCAGCAGGACCTGGGGCAGTGCGCACAGCCTACCTAGTTGCGGCTGGGTTCAGCTTCCCCCAGCTTCAGCCCTCAGGACCCCAGCGGGGTGCCAGCAGCAGTGACAGCCTACCTAGTTGCAGCTGGGTTCAGCTTCCCCTGGTTCTATGTCTCATTCTAAGATGTTGTTGCAGAGCAAACTGGGGGTGGGGGGAGAGGAGAAAAGGGGAGGGAAACAGGGTGGGAAGAGGGGGAAAGAGGGGGGTGTGAACAAGGCACATGGCCACCCTCTCATTCCATCAGGGGAGACCAGGGGGCTTCCAATGCCTGCTGGGTCGTTGCTGGGTTGGATTCAGATGTCAGTGGGGTGTGGCTGAAGCCCTCAGCCCCCCCCCACCCCAGGTCAGGAACACAGGGAGCTTCCTGTGGCAGCTCAGTGGTCATTGCTGGGCTGGTTGTGGATGTCAGGGGTGCATGGCTGAGGCCATCAGCCCCGTCATTGCCCCGGCTCGGGAGCCCAGGGTGCTTCCTGTGGGGGCTTGGTGGTCATCACTGGGCTGGCTGTGGATGTTGGGGGGGTGTGGCTAATGGCCCTCAGCCCCCCACTGCCCCAGCTTGGGAGCCTGGGGAGCTTCCTGCAGCTGCTTGGTGGTCATTGCTGGGGTGTGTGTGGAGGGCAGCGGGAGGAGAGCTGAGGTCCTTGGCCCTCCCTACTCCCTGGCTTGGGAGCTCTGTAGTTGAGATAAATTGCTTTATTGCTGCTGATTCCCTGAGGAAGGCGTTTTGTGAAGCTTAGGTTTCAATGGTTGACCTTGTATGTACTTCCAGGTTTCATGAGGTCCAGTGCACCTGGGTTGTGTGGAACCTCTGGTCTGGGCCTGAGTCTTTTCAGCAAACTGCTCCCCCTGCAGTTCTGTATCCCTGACCAGTCTACACAGAGTGGGCCTGCACTGACTGGGGGACAGATCATGTCCATGCTGTGCCCCAATGTTCCCCTGGTGTGCCCATCTCCCCCACTGCCTGCACTCCAAACACTTCCCATGGGACGGGCCATGCGCCAGTTCTTTGCAATGACTCACCGGCCTCTGTGTGGCTCCTTTTTTCAGTTGTCTGTGGCTCCTCGTTCCTCTGTTGGTCCACAGGAAACCTGTTAGTGGTCTTGCTTGCCTAGGGGCCAAGGCCCTCTTCTCCCCTGCCGCCTCCCAGCAACTTTATAGGAAGGGCACAACTGCAACTTTTGCCAGCTCTTGCTCCGTGTGCTCAGCAGGGCCAGCCTGGAAGCAGCCAGGGCTCAAAATGGTGGGAGCAGTCCCTTCTTTCTCTCATCGTGGCTTCTCCTGCCTTCATGCACTCCGTACGTCTCTCCTCCTCATCCCATGAGCTCTAGCAGCCCCAGCTTGGCTGTCGTTGCTTTTTAATAGTTGTAAATTGGTTGATTTGTGGGAGAGAGTGACGCTAGGGACCATCTATTCTGCCATCTTGTGAAGAATCATTTATCATGCTTTCATTTCTCTTAAATATATACCTAGGATTGAAGTTGCTGGGTCATATGTTAAGACTACGTTTAATATTCTGAGGAACTGCCATACTGTTTTCCAAATCGGCTGCATCATTTCACATTCTCACCAGCAATGCATAAGGGTTTCAATTTCTCCACATCCTACCAAATACTTGTTGTGGTCTGCCTTTTTGATTATAGTCATGATAGTGGTGTGAAGTGGTATGTCACTGTGGTTTTGACTTGCATTTTCCTGATGACTAATGATGTTGAACATCTTTTCATGTTCTTATTGGCCGTTTGTATCTCTTTGCAGAAATGTGTATTTGAATCCTTTGTCTGTTTTTAAATTGGGCTACTTGTCTTTTAGTTACTGAATTGTAAAACTTCTTCATATATTCTGGATACAAGTCCCTTATCAGATATATAACTTGCAATTTTTTCACCCATTATGATGACTGTCTTTTCACTTTCTTCATGGTGTCCCATGAAGCACAAAATTCCAATTCATCTCCAGTTTCTTTTGTCACTTGTGCTTTTGTGACAATTTACTCCTATACTTTATTCTAAGAGTTTTATTGTTTTATCTCTTACGCTTAGTTCTATGATACATTTTGAGTTCATTTTTCTATATGGCTAGAGTTCAACTTCATTGTTTACAGATGAATATCCAGTTGTCCCAGCACCATTTGCTGAAAAGGCTATTCTTTCCCTGTTGAATGGTCTTGGCACTAGGAATTTTTGTTCTCAGAGAAAGCTGTGGCCCCATGTTGAGGGGGCAGCATACTAAGAAGACCTCAGGAGAGGGGTGTCAGGGCTCTGGGACCACTGGTGGTAACTGTTGTCAGACCCTCCCACTGCTCCCTCTGAACGCAGTTTCCTCACCTTCACGGTTATACCTCTATGTGATACTTCACAATTTGAAAGTGCTCTTGTTCAAACTTCCTGACAATTCTAGGGGAAACAAAAGCCAGGTCCTGCGGTTCAGAGAGATGCAACTGCTGCAAGTCCCACTGTTGAGGAAGCAACAGAGCTGGAACCCACAGTGGGTCTCCATGACCGTGTGGCGCTCACAGTGGAAGCAGGTGTCAGCCATGCCCAGACTCAGACCTCTGGGAGGTGTCTCACAGAAATCTGATGCTCTAAAGAGAAACAGAACTGCACACAAGCATGTGTACGCAGGCACAAACGAAATGTTGCCTACAGTCTATGGGTTGCAGATTAAGAAATCCTGAAATAGATGATCTCTAAGATCGTTTCTAACACTAAATATCTGTTAAGCCAGTACTTAAACTATTTAAGTTCATATCCAATAAAATTTGCAGTCTTTTCCAAGTCTTTTTCAATTATTTGCAGTC